TATATATATAGTACATATATATAAATATATACACAAACATACACTATATTGCCAAAAGTATTTGCTCATCGATCCACCGGTCCATAAAGACATAAATGGCAGAGTCTGGTGAGGATGACTGGCCTGCACAGAGTCCTGACCTCAACCCAATAGAACACCTTTGGGATGAATTAGAGTGGAGACTGAGAGCCAGGCCTTCTGTCCAACATCAGTATGTGACCTCWTTCTGAAAGAATGGTCAAAAATCCCCATRAACACACTCCTGAACCTTGTGGACTGCCTTCCCAGAAGAGTTGAAGTTGTTCTAGCTGCAAAGCGTGGACCAACCCTATGGATTTAGAGGATGTCACTTAAACTCATGTGTAAGTCAAGGCAGGTCAGCGAATAATTTTGGCAATATAATGTATTTAAAATGGGAGTTTTATTACATTTGGGTACATTTGCACTGTGACGCTTTCCATCACTTAAGTTGCCCATTCCTGAACTATCATTAGAAACTTGGTCCTCTCAAAACCCTGATGACATCACAATTTCCCTCCATTCATTTGTCCAACCAGTGCCGTCTTTATTCCGCTGAACCATGAGCTGAGTCCTGTCACCCCCCCCCCACACACACACACACACACAGTGTCTTTCTTTCTCTCACACTGAAAGTGATCTGCTCCTACTTTCGTCCTCTCGTCGTCCAGATCGCTTGTTTGAGTAGCAGCACCTGGCACGCCCGATAAGTTCTGCTTTCCTGGTCCATTATTGTTTTTGACCCAGCGGGATCATACTATTAAATCTGACTTGATGAAACAGGCAAAAACTGATTCACCTGTATAATTAACGGAATGCCAAAGTTGCGCAGTTCCTCTGAAATGCAACAAGCAAAACAGTCGAGTAAACCCAAAATGATCCGTTTCCTGTTCAACACACAACTCATTTTGAGAGGATGAGTTTTATTCTTCTTTTGCTTTTAGCTTTTATACCAGGATTGTTGACGACAAGACGAAGATAAATCAGGAATAAGTTCGTCTGCAACAGAACTCTCAGCTCTGGTCCATTAGCTCTGTCACATTKGAGTACACGGCTGCATCTTCACCCCCAGCCACGTCTTGCGGACAGAGTTTCAGCTCCTCTTTTTCTTTCGCCTCATCATTTGCCTGCGGTTTTGCTTTTTTTGGCTTAATTTTAGCGTAGTCGGTATCTGTGGGCTCATGTTTCTTCTCCTTTGAATTTTTTTTCTTCCACATCAACAGTTTAACATCAGAGTACTCCACATCTGAACTCCCAGCTTCAGCTCCTCCAGCGGCTCCTTCAGCCTGGATCTGCTCATATTCCATGACTTGGCCACCATTTGTCTGGAAGCCAAACATGCAGAAAAAACATTAAATAAAGATAAATTGCAGCAGTTTGAAGCTTTGACTTCCTATTTATTACCACAATCTAAGTTGACTCATTTTATTTTGGAATCCTGACTTGCATTTTTTAGCATGGCCACTAGATGTCACCAAAGTGACAGTTACTGAAATGTCCTGAACAAATAAAAAACACAAACCAGTGAACTCTCCTGACTCATCACCATCTCCAGAGCCTCACTTCTTTCAGCCTTCTGTCTTTTTCTGTGGAGACATGAATTAAGTAACTTTTAAGTCATAAGCAGTCCAACATCAACCCAAATATCAAATCAGACCAAAAAGTAAATGTTCACTTTGATGTTGTGAATTTTGGCACCTTTTTTTTTCACTTTTTAATTTACTTCTAAAAATGTCTTCCAAGACATAARCATACATCTTTTTGTTGAAAACCTAAAGAGACTCACTGCAACGTTGTATAGACTGTCTAAAATAATCATAGAGTAAAAATCAAGATCTGCACAAGTGTGTTGGAGTTTTAAAGAAAATGTGGAAGTTGCTTTACACTTATTCAACTCAGTTGAGTGGAAAATTGTTGACATAACTTGATTAAGTAAATCCAACAATCTGTTTTTTGAGTGCAAATGTGCTTTTAAATTCAATATTTTAAAGCAAATTTTATGAATGATTGCCAGCTATGCTCTTTGTTTACTTTTGTAAAGACTTTAAATAACTGAAAATAGGTCATCAATTACAACGTCTATTAAAGAACTGACAGTTTTGATATATTACTAGATAATTACACCATATCACAGACTACAGCCAGCCTTTTGTCATGTGAATCAAGCTTTTGAAAGGACTCAGCCGAGTGCTATTTTTTTACATTAAGCACAAATCTATATGGAAGCCCATTTCCGCCACCCTGATAAAAAATAAAACTTGTATCTCATAATTATGACTTAGCTATCTCATAATTATGACTTAGCTATCTCATAATTATGACTTAGCTATCTC